AACCGCCTCCTTCATTTTAAAAGAGAGAAGAACACGCAAACGACCATACCACACAACATCTCCCTTGAGTACTGGTAGAATAGAATTCAAGGTGATGATCTGGACAACATTCTGCATATCAGAAATCACTTAGGAAATGCAAATAGAAAAATCATGTGCCAATTTAAGAAAAAATAAAAAGCAACCCCCTCACATAGATTGAATTCAGGAATCTTTCAATGAATTCCTCCACTCCTCCTCCCTCAGCAGCCATTTCCAGCCTTGGGAAAGTTGATTCTTGTGGTTTTGAGACCCACATGGAGTAACAGCCACATAGGGTTGCAGTTCTAGGTTGTGAAATACCTGGAGATTTTGGGGGTGGAGCCTGAGGAGGGCCGGGGTTGGGGAGGGGAGGGACTTCAATGGGCATAATGCCACAGAGTCCACCTTCCAAAGGGGCCATTTTCTCCTGATGAACTGATCTCTGTTGCCTGGAGATCAATTGTAATAGCAGGAGATCTCCAGCCACCCCCTGGAGGCTGGCAACCCTACATGGGTCAAGGGGCTGCCTGCAGTAAAGACGTGGCAGAGGGTGATATCCAACTAGCTTCCTTGGGATGGAACTAATATTGCACCAGAAGAAGCTGCCTTCATGTGCAGTTAATATTGCATCCCATTATAATTTGCTCAGCATATGAATTTGTGAGTTAAAAAAGCACCACATATCCCTCCCAAGGTATTCCTCCCAAAGCTTTACTGATTTTTCTTAATCTGGCTTCTAGACACATTCTGCATCTGTAACCACACTACTTCTTAAATATACATTTAAACCAATCTTTGAGACTGCATAGGCTCTGAAATCGCTTCAGCATGTCTCATATTATCCCATTTCCCTCACTTGACTGCCATCCCAAACGCAATTCTTATGCAAATATAAAAAGACAGGGATGGAAACACATTGTCGGAAATTGCAGTTGCTCCTTGTTAGAGAGTATTTTCTAATTACTGAACTGTGAGAAGCTTTTTATAGCTCTTCCCATTTGGAAGCGATCAAAGTTCCAGATTTACTTCTGAGAACCATAGTCTATATAGGTAGGAGTGTGTTAAATTGTGTACACAGGCAATAACATAGGAGTGGCTGCAGTCCAAGGGATTGTCTGGTTCTAATGTTCTGAGGTAATTTTCATAATTGTTAAAGCTACACTGGATAAAGGCACTTGAGTGCAGGAGTGAAGACACAGGTGCGGACTAGGTTGGTCGAATGCCACAGGAATGCAAAAATGCCACCCCTTCCCACAGAATATCAAATTAACAGACACACTGATCTCTACAAGCTGCTTGTTCTTTCATTCACAACTGATCTGCAGATTCCTGCCGAAAATGTCCTTCACAGTGGTTTTTCTGACATTTTTGTCTTGAAGAAACCTGTTCCACATCAACTTGCTGGCCAAAAAAGCCCAGCAGGTATGCCATGGAACTCTTATGGGACGTATTATGGGACACTTCACACTGAGTACTGGCTAGGTGTGTCATGCCTCATGCCCTGTGTAAACTGAGCCTGTGTCACACCTCATATTTCCATATGGCTCAGTGTTTCAAGAGAAAGCTTCACAGTGGACTGGTTGACTTTTTTCTTTATAAAAGTTTTTTATTTTAACGTAAACAAACAAACAAAACATATATACATACAGTCTGGGGTTTCATATAAATCTTGGTTTAGCTTCTGTATTACCTCATACAGTGACTATTTAAAATATCCACATCTTTTGAGGCATTTTGGCCACCACTGCTGACCTTATTGAGGCCTATGTGATATGTGACCTACTGAAAATGAAGTAGTGTATTTATAATGCAAGAGTTACACCCTTCTAAGTCCACTGAAGTGAATAGGCTTAGAAGAGTATCCCAAATCACTTCACTCATCTGTCAAGGTCAGTTTTGCCTACTCTGACAGGCATCAGTATTCCAGGGTCACATGCAGAGGTCTTGTACAGCCCCTACCACCTGACTCTTTTAAGTGGGGAAGCTGGGGATTGAACCTGGGACCATCTGCACGCAAAGCTCTACCTCTGCGCCATGGCTCATCCCCTGTTCTTCTAGAACTACCAGGAAAATATTGCATGTAATTTACCTTCAGCCGTCAGGCTGCAACCTTGGCACCTCTCTGCTGAAGTGGTCCAAACTAGGATCCCAACTTCTGTTCAGTTGCCTAAAATAAGAATTCCATTATTAGTCTACCACAGAAAAGCTCTCATATTTATAATCCCAAAAATGAACTTCACCCAACTCTTGAAGATTCCACTCTGCCCTGTTCTACTGCAGATATCAATCAAGACAAGAAGAACTGTGTTTATGCTAGAATGCATACTATGGGCATCTGCTAATACTGGACAAAGATGGTATCTCTTGTAGGTGCCAGTAACTTAGGCCAGTTTCATTCAAAGATGTCTTTTATTAAGATGATTATTTTATTGGCAATATTTATGCATGAGTGTCAGCAAGCTGCCATGGTGTTCTGTGTAACTTCTGATTGTACATATGTGATCCCTGTCCCTGCCAGCTGGCCTATGTGTTTTCCCTGCTGTAATGCCAAAGTAAAACAACTGGAGGATGTGAGGGGGAGAGTATGCTTCGCTGTTAGCTTCTTACTTATCAAGCCTGTGAACTGCACCTGTGTTTTGTCTACTGTTCGCCTGGTTCCCAAGACTTGAGCAGGCAACCGTTTTCTCCTGCCCGCCAGCGGGAACGTTATCCATTGGTTGTGTATCTAACTAGAATCCCTTTATCATGTCTGCCCTAACTGCTTGTGTTCAGTTCTAACAAAGAACGTGTTTGAGTATCTTTCCAATGCTTTGAAATAAACTTTACTTTCTTTGAAACGTGGATTTATTCTCGATGCTTGGGGATCCAACACCGGCTCCGCCACAGGCAGTGGCAGCCGGCTCAGGGCATCTGCGTGGCCCATAGCCTTTCCCGGCCTGTGCTCTAATCGGTACTGATAGCCGGCCAGAAAGAGGGACCACCGGAGCACTCGTGGCGACATCACTTGGGGCGTCCTCTTGTCGGGTGCCAGTAGTCCCAGGAGGGGTTTGTGATCTGTGGCAATCATGAAGGGGTGGCCATACACAAAGTTGTGAAATTTTTTTACTCCCGCCACAATTGCCAGGCCCTCCCTGTCGATTTGTGCGTAATTGTGCTCCGCAGCCATCAAGGTCCATGAGTAGTAGGCCATGGGCACCTCGCGGCCGTCAGGGAGGATGTGCCCCAGCACGGCGCCGACCCCATAGGGAGAGGCATCGCACGCCAGAACCACGGGGAGGGACTCATCAAAGTGTGCCAGCACATCATTCGAAATTAAGAGTGCCTTCACGCCCTTGAAAGCTGCTGCCTCCCTCGTGCCCCATGTCCACTTCGCCGACTTATCCAGGAGATGGTGCAGGGGTTCCGCCATCGCCGCTTTGTGGGGCAAGAAGGCGTGATAAAAATTTAAAAGTCCTAGGAACGCCTGCAGTTCCACTTTGCATGTGGGGGCGGGGGCCTCCACGATGGCCTTTACCTTGACGGTAGCCAGGTGCAGGCCCGATGCATCGACCCGGAACCCCAAAAAGTCCACCTCCGAGACCCCAAGGAGACACTTTTCACGCTTCACTTTGAGGCCGGCCAAGTCGAAACGCTGCAGGACGGCGCGGAGGCGGGAGGCAGGAGGCAAAATTGTCGGGGGATGCCGCGGCAATCAGGACGTCGTCAAAGAACGTCGTCACTCCAGAGATCCCTTTTAACAATGAGTCCATTAGTTGCTGGAAAATCCCTGGCGCCACGCTCACCCCAAATTGTAGCCTCTTCACCCGGAACGCCCCCCTGTGGGTGACTATTGTCTGTGCCGTGGCGGTGGCCTCATTGACCGGTAGTTGCTGGTAGGCCTGTGCCAAGTCCAGTTTCCCAAAGATGGATGCTCCCGCCAGCGTGGCCAGGACATGACTTACGACCGGGACGGGGTAGGAGTGGTCGTGCAGTGCCTTATTAATCGTGCACTTGTAGTCCGCACAGATGCGGATCTCTCCGTTGGGCTTCATGGGGGTTACAATGGGGGTCTCCCACATTGCATGAGGGATGGGCTCCAGGACCCCCTGCGCCACCAACTTGTCCAGCTCCGCGTCTATCTTTGGCCGAATGGAGATGGGAGCCGTGCGGTAACGCATGCGGATGGGGGCAACTGAGGGGTCCAATTGTATGGAGACCAGGGGTCCCTTGTAGCATCCCAGGGCCCCATCGAACACGACCGGGAACTCGTTGCAAATGTCACTATAATCTCTCGGGGCACAGCTGTGTATTCCCCTGACCCCGACCATGATCCCCAGCGGTTCAAACCAGGCCCTGCCCAGTAGGCTGACCAGGTTTCCCTCGACCACCACCAGGTCCAATAGTTCTGAAAATCCTCTGAACTTCACCCTGAAAGTCCTCACCCCCCTGATGGGAACCGGGTTCCTTTGAAAGTCCACCAGGCTCAGGTGTGATGGGCGTAATCGCCCCCCCCCCAGGGCACAGTCGGAGAAGCGTTTCAACTGAAATTATGGACGCTGCTGACCCAGAGTCTACTTCCATTTGGCAGGGGGCCCCCTCGATCTGGACGGTAAGTTGGATTTTCGGGGCGCCCGTGGAGTTCGGGAGGCGCAGTACCTGTTGGAACGGCTGGTCGGTGAGGAGGTAGTTCTGCTGTGTCCGCGGATGTCCCGTGCGTGGCGGGAGACGGACGGCGTGGTTGCGTCGGAGCTTGTTGGCGCCGGCTTCCCTTGGAACGGCAGACACGTGCGAGGTGTCCCTGCTTTCCGCAAGTGTGGCACGGAACCTGCAGGACCGGCGCTCGTGTTCCTCACCGCAACTGGTGCATGTGGAGCGGCCGGCCGGCAGGCTTGTGCCCGGAGCTGCCTGGGGCCAGTGGCTGGCGGCGTGGCGGCTGTTGGACGAGGCGGACATCTTCTTCCTCGGAGTCCTCGGTGTCCACCTCGGGGAGTACTTGGTGCACTTCTGAATGTTGGCGGTGGGAGTCCTCGTGCGCGATGGCGAGTTGAAGGGCCGCCTCTAGGTTGATGTCGGCGGTCCCGACCATCTTCCTCCGCAGTTTGAGGTTGCTGAGGCCCCACGCGAACTGTGTGAGCAGGTTCTCCTCCACCTTGGTGAAGGAGCAGTCCATCGCTAGCTGGCGCAGGGCGGCCATGAAGGCTGTGGCTGACTCGCCCGCTTTCTGCACGCGGGCCTGGAAGGCCAGCCACCTTGCCAGCGTTGTCGGCCACGGCGTGAGGTACCTGGTGAGGGCGTCGATGATCTCCTCGTAGGTACATTCCAGGATGGACCGGGGCACGAGGAGACTTTTGGCGAGGCGGACCGTCGTCACTCCGCAGGAGCTCAGGAGCAGCGCCTGTCTCTTGCCGGTGTCGGTGACCTCATTGTACTCGAGGTGGCATGTCAGCTGGTTGGTCCACGAGTCCCAGAGTTCGGGTTGGGCAGGATCGAAGATCTCCAGATTCCCTCGGTTGGAGGCCATGGCGTAGCAGTAGCGCGGGGCTGAGGTTCCTTGTAGCGGTGCGTGGTGCGGTGTGGCTGGTGCGCGATGCGGAGCACGGCGTAGCAGGAACGGAGCTTAGCATGCGCTGGATCGAGCCAGGCCAGACTCAGCAGGATCCCACCTTCGTCGCCACTTAAAAGTACTGGGTTCGCCGCATGGAGGACTCGGACGACGACATGTGATTGCACACGTTTATTGAGTACTTAACATAAGGACAACAACGGCCCTGCAAGGCCAACTATATACACTCTCAACCCCGGGCCTCCCACTCCATTGGAGGGATTTCCCGCCAAGAAGCCAATTGGTCAGCTAGGGGGGGAACTAGGATCCTAGCTCCCATTGTCTTTCTGGAGCCAAGCTCCTCTCTTTCTTGTGGCCGCCCTGTGGCAGGCCGCATACATAACAGTGCCTTTGAGCGGGATGATAAACAATCAACATTATTGAGTCGTCACGAGTCCATGCAAGATCAGGATGGACTGGAAAGATCAGAAGGCTGTGCCTTATCAGATATAAGACGGGACAGGAGATTATTTCGATTTGTGTGGTTGCGCAG